TTACAGAATGATAAAATTCTGGGGTTTGAGGAATTTCATTTGAAGGATGACAGGCGGAGAAGGCAGAAAGATGAATTTCTGAACAGCCGCAGAGGGCCTCTGCTACCCTGTGGGTTTCCACAGTTTAAAAACATGACAAAAATGGTGACACTTGCATGGCACCTGTCATATTGCATTTGAGCCTTAGATTTCAACCCCCCCCCCCCACCCGTGGTATCTTTTGAGAATGAACTATAATATTTGTAGCCAGACATTTAATAAGGGATCTTCATGACAAATGCCCTCCTGCACCATAGGAGTTGGGGAGGTACAGTCCAAAACTGATGGTTGGAGTGTCCGGTTGGAGAGCGCTGGTTTAAACAATACAAACTTGGGATCAGGTGGCAGGTAACCCTATTGACCAAGTCAGTGAAAGCCTGGTGGGTGCAGATACATGGCTTCCTAAGCTTGCTGGGGTGTTGTGGCTCTGTGAGTTGCGTGAACACAGCCAACAATTGCTGGCATCCTCCTTGGTTTCTCTGTAGCGGAGATGTGGATGCTGATGGTCTGTGGGCTGCCCCCTTTCCTAAATTAGAACTGGGGCTCTGCTTCCTTGGCCGACATTTCAGTCCCTCTGCTGCAACCACTGCAGAGAAAATCAGCACTGTGGGAACGTAACCACAGTGCTGATGCGAAAAGCAAACAGCAGTGGCTGAATATTGAATAGCACTCTGTGGCTTTTGTTAGCTTTGGAAAGAATCTTTATTTTCTTTGTTTCTGGGGAAAGCAACACAAAAATCTTAATTCCATTTAGTGATTCTGAAAGTATCATTGTATAATGTGTGTGTGTAGAGTGCGTGGACATATGTTTGCACAATACTCCTCTGAGGCCACTTTCCAAAGGTGAGCTGTTTCAATTCCCATCATTGATTCAGGGATTCACTGTCCTCGAAAAGATTTACTTGCATGTGGTCTGTAAAAAGCTGCATCAGGTTATAATTTAACTGCAAAAGAAGCATCAACACTGTGATTCCAGGAAGAGGGAATAGGTAAGCAGATGGGCAGTTCTCATAGTAACAGCATGGAATTAGTTTCCCCATAAATTAGAGAAGGCAAGTTTAGTTATTGCCCTGCTCTTTCAGACTTGGCTCCATCCCTTCCAGCATGCCACTCAATGATCAGGGCAGGAAACAGTTGCTGTACCCCTGCTTTGTGCACCCAGGAGGGCTGAGGTGGCATCGCACGCTGAGCCACGGGCAAGATGGCTGAACCTTGAGCTGGACTGTCATGTGGGCCTAGGGCCCGTTGTGCTTCCTGTGTGTTGAGTGAACCCAGACAATTAATTCTTTTGAGTAGCTGACAGTTATGCTGCCGGTGGGGCAAGTAAAACCATGTGCAAGCTGAGCATGGGATGAGACATGATACATTGCTATCTCAGCAAGATTTCAGGGGGAATCCTGACACCAGAGGTCTTGGAGCAGAGATAAAAATATTTGGCCTTCCAAATGTTAATGAACATGCTCATTCCTCATGCTGGGTGGAGCTACTGGGAGTTGCACCGAAACTTCTGGGATGGTGCTGCTTCCCCGCGGCTCTCTTGCAGAAAGAAGAGCAACTTCGTGCTGTCGCCAGGCTTTTGGCATGTGTTGAAACCAGAACGGCTTTTCCCCCCAAGCATGATTCTCAGAGTGTCTCTAGCAAGAGCAATTGAGAAGAAGGGATAAGACTGCAAGAATTACAGCAACTGCACTAATTTTGCATCTACAACTAATATATCCCAGTGTACTTCCTTATTTTTTTTTATTGCCTTTCTGTGAACTAGTGAACTGGAGGGTCTTTTCACTGATAATAGAAGAGCTTGCAGGTGATTGTTTATAAAACCTTCCCCTGAATCATTGTCAGTTTGGAAATCAGCCATTTCAGATGCCTTTCTGAAGTTTCAGAAAGGGTGGGCAAAGTCTCCCCACTTTCCCAGTCTCCCCACTGCTTTGTCTAATAGGGGTAGGAGGAGAAAACTGTCACCCAGTCAATACCGCAGATTGTCAGCAGGTCCCTGTAGAGACCCCCCCCCCCCCCTTCTTTTTTTTTTTTTTTTTTTTTTTTTTTTTTT